TTGTGGATCTCTCTCGCTGATTAGTTTTCATAGCTTTCTAATCCTCTCATAACTTTCATTCTCTCAAACTCAAAACACTCGAAAGATCTTTACACTAGCTTTTAGCGTAGTGCACAAAGGCCCCAGCAACAACACCAGTAGTAGCAGTAGCAGTAGCAGTCGTAGCAGTAGCAGTGGTGGCGGTAGCCGTGGCGGTAGCCGTTGTCCTCGCATCAAGGTCATCGGCCGAAAAGCACAACGACACGAACGATCGATCGATCGTTCAACAAACAACATGGCTCCAGCCAACCAACGGCATACAGCAGTAGACTAGTAGCAGTAGCGCAGCTAATAGCCGTAGTAGCAGTAGCAATAGCGTTGATAGTAGCCGTTCAATCAAACGAAAAAAAGGACATCATTGTCCTCTTCCTTTGGTGGCTGCTCAGAACAATGAGTGGCTCCTAGCACTATCTGCAGTGGCAGCCAGTCTAATTGGAGCATGTGTGCTACCACATTGCTCCGCTTAGAGTCATGGCTACAGGAGTCTTCCTCGACTCCCAGCCACCGCCTCAGCTGTCCGCAATCTGGTTGGCATGGGCAGTTCGCTAGGGCAGTTCGCTAGGACTATTTAGGTACGACCAAATACACCTAGAGTATGTAGTGTCGGAACGATAGTGCTAGGATTGGGGAACAACGGTGATATCCAGTGCACCAGTGCACCAATCCAAAACCGTTGGAACCCAACATTGAACTGAGAAGAGCCCATGTGCTGACGAACAGCGTGTCGCAGACACGATGCCGAAAGCCCCATGTCAACTGAGTCAGCGGACACCCGGAGTGGTATACAGTCGGACTGTAGACCACCTTTACTCTAGGTGTAAACACACGAAAGAAAATAGGCGCGCAGAAAGAAGCGAGCCAACATACTGTACGAGTGAATGGAGGCCGAAACTTTAAAATTAGGCCACCGGAATGACAAAAAAGTAGCCAGTTTACACTCTTGGAGGAGGAAGAGCCAGGCGCAAAGGGCGACCATGGCAATCAATCAGCGGCACAAAGGGCCACAACCACCACCGTTCAAAGACGGAGCAACAGGGCCACACCAAAAGGAATTCACGGCCTCAATCGCTGGCATAGTCAGCTCCACACCTATCAGGTACCAAGGGCTGTCACTGTGGTGTGTGGTGTGGCATGGTAAAGGTGGCTGGTCACCACCACCTGGACCAAAGTCTCGCGGCGCGCCAAGTCATCATTGGATGGAAGACTTAAGGGGCGGGGCCAAGAATTAGAGGGCAAAGTCCAAGACTTAGAAGCCCCCATGTCCTTTTCAAGCATCGACTTCGCGAGAAGGACTTTTCATGCATCGACATAAAATTTCGAAAGCATGGATGAAAACACGTCACGAAACGTGACGTCATCAGATCCGGGCACGACTGACGTCATTGGCATTGGCGACTGACGTCAGTCAGATTCTGGATTTTTAAAGCGGGGGTGAAATCCAATCCGGTCAGGAGTCCGAGACATAGGGGACCACCAATCTTGCCAAGAGCACAAGACTTAGGGGCCAATCCGTCAAGGACTTAAGGGCCGATCCAGCTTTTTTGTTGTTGAAAATCGCGAAACGCGAAATCGCGACCATGGCCCTGAAGTCGGGACGCACGGCAACAACGGTAGCCAGGAGGAGACGATACACTCCAGGGCCAGTTGGCTGAGGAGGGCCCTGAGGCTTAGCATTCTTGTTCTACCTGTACCGTACCGGTAGTTCATTGGGATGGTGAAATGGCCCCATTCTATAAATGAGTAGATAGATACAGAATAGCAAATGCGTAGTGACATGCCGGGTACAAATTAGTCTTCCTGTTTGAACCCGTGGCGTCCTTTCGGTTGGTGGTGTTGGAACTGTATTCTGTTTGTGTGACGGGGATTTGAAAAAAAAATTTCCTGCGTCCACGTAGTGACAATGGGGTCGGCAGTCATGCCGTGGCCGTGAGAATGTAGGAGTATTCCTTAGCACATCGATCTGGCTGGATTGTCACAGCCGGCAACAACGCAGCTGTGATCGACGCTCATCAGCTCAGAGATTCCTCCCCAAAAGCCAAGCTAATTGACTTCTATGGATTCCACTCCGGGAACCGAGAAGTTTATGAGTTGCACCAGAATGAGTTTCGTTGCTGCAGCTGCCGTCCTCTTCAGCTCTTTGATTTTGGTTGGAGAACGATTGTAAGATGCAGCGGCGCTGTCACGGTTTCAGCCTCTCAGGTCTCACGTTTGACAGCTCTTTCTGGCTTATTTGACTCGACTCAACAAAACTGACGTCATTTCAAAAAGAAGAAAATGCCACGAAGGAAAAAAACTGCAACCACCCAAAAACTTCCAAACTTCAAAGAAAGAAAAGGGCTCTCACCATCAAGGTACCACCACATTGCTGGGAGATTCATTTGCTATCAACGCAGAAGATAGTTGCATTCTAACGCCCTTCAGTACGCACAGTTCATCATGCTCCATCGGGCTTGCTATCTGTTCTATTTCACGTGGATTGGAAGTGCCTTCACGGGGGCATTTACGCTGCCTCCTCCAATTTTTAGCGCAAGAGTTACCCCCACATTTTCATCGGCCGTCTATTCTTCTTCTGCCGCCACGGAAGAAGAATCTGCCGTCAAGAAGACTACTAAGAAACGACAAGAAGACTATGCTCGGGGAGCCGCTCTGCTGCTGGAAAATGTGGCCATTTCACGAGGACCAGCCCAAATATTAAAGAGCATTGATTGGCGTGTGGAACCTCGGACCAAATGGGCATTAATTGGAGGCAATGGGTCTGGAAAATCCACCCTGCTGAAAGCTGTGGCGGGAGAAATCCTGTACGACGGAGACATTCATCTGGGCGGTGGGGATATTGGTTATCTCCAGCAAACTGCCGTCAGTGGATCCACCAAGACAGTCTATGAGGAAGCCGCGTCTGGAATGGTAGAATTGCAGAAGGCCAAGGATTATCTGGAACGTATACAACAACAACTTGCCAATGCGGATGATGATAATGGTCAAGACAATGAGAAACTGCTCCAGGAACTGGACCGAGCCAACACACTATTTGAAGCAGCCGGTGGATACACACAAGAACAAAAGGTTGCCACGGTTTTGAAAGGTCTGGGATTTCATGACTTGGATATACGCTGTGATGAGTTGTCAGGAGGATGGCAGATGAGAGGTTAGTCAGCGATTTGATTATGTTGTCGTTGCTGGGATACTATTGAAATACATCCAATGGTTTCTCACTGCCTTGTTTTTGTCTCTGTCTTTGGTGGGGTAGTCTCCTTTGCAAAACTGTTGCTAAGTGAACCAAACTTTGTCTCATGGACGAACCAGGTGAGACCAACAAACAAACAATGCAGCCTGAAACATGCCGGAAGAGTGAACTGACCATCCCTATCTGGTATACTCCACTTTGGTGGAAATTATCATTTATTCATAGGAAATCATCTGGATGCCGCTGCTAGAAAGTGGTTGGCCAATTATCTTGCCACCTACGATGGTGACGGGACAATGCTGTTGGTCACTCACGATGTACAGTTGCTCGAGTCTATGGATCACATTGCGGAAATTACACCCACTGGCAATCTACAAGTCTACAAATCCTGTACGTACCCTCAATATTTGGAATTGAAACAGCAACGAGCGCTGGCATCGCGGGCAGAATTCGAGCGCAATCAGGTAAAGGCAGCCAAACTGCAAGGCTTTGTAGATAAATGGGGAGCATCCGCTACCAAGGCATCTGCGGCTCAATCCAGAGTCAAACAACTCGAAAAGATGGGGCGAGAGGGATTGTTGGATGAGCCGGATGAAGCAATCGTGGCGGAGCGGTTCAAACCGACACTGGTCTTGCCAGACCCTCCGCGCGCTATCGGAGACACCTTGTTGGCTCTCAACGATGCATCGGTTGGATACGACAATGACAAACCCCTTGTGGAAGGGGTCAATTTGGAAATTGTGAGAGGAATGAAATTGCTTATCCGGGGTCCCAATGGAGCAGGGTATGTTTGGTATCAAGCGTTGTGCGGGCCCTATCATGGATTCAACTTGTCATCTCAAACTGGCGATGTTTCTCATTCGCATTGTTTCAAAGGAAAAGCACATTGCTTCATTCGTTGAGAGGAACACTGCCTCTGATTGAGGGAGAGCGGACCAAAAATGCACAGCTTGAATTGGGTGTTTTCACTCAAGACTTGGCCCAAGAGCTTGATGGTGAATCGAGGGCCGTTGACATTGTCACACAGTATGCCCGAACCGGATTTGACGTCACTATTTCGGATGAACAAGCCAGAGGTGTCATGGGTAGGTTAGGGCTGACAGGTGAAAAGGCGTTGCGCAGAATCAAAGAGCTGTCAGGAGGCGAAAAGGCGCGAGTTGCTTTGTCAAACTTTTCCATCAAACCATCAAACTGCATATTGCTGGACGAAGTGTCAAATCATTTGGATCAGGAATGGTAAGAAGGCGTGTGCAAGTGTGGATGGCTCGGTGCGATTTGCTTTGATCTGATCCTAGCTTTGATGATCCTTGTATGCTGAAATGTTCAGCGTGGAGGCACTCAGCGACGCCCTGACCGATTGGGGCAAAGATGATGGGGCTGTTGTGGTGATATCTCACGACAAAGAATTCTGTTCCAAGGTGGGTTTCACTCATGTCGCCACGGTCTCAGATGGCAAGTTCAAGCTAGAACAAAGAAGCATGAGAAACGACGACTGGCAAGTAGTCAGAACGACATTGGGTGAGACTGACAAGGAGGGAACCGAAACAGGGCAACCAGCCAAAGTTGAAGTCGATCCAGCAATTCGAAAGAAGTTGTTCAATGCACCTAAAAGAATATCAAAGTTGGAGGAACTGCTAGAAAAGACCGAGGAAGAAATCGCGTCTCTGGACGAAGAGATGTTAGCCAACGGGAGTGACGTGGGAAAGCTAGTCGACCTATCCAAGAAGAAGGAAGAGCTGGAAGCAAAGGTCGAAGAGTACATGGAGGAGTGGGAAGAGTTGGAGATGCTCCTGGCAGAATCACAGTAGGCATCAACCAGTTCGGTAGGCATCAACCACTGGTTCACCTGCACTGCCAGCAGCGCTTGTCATTTCAAGGCTGGTAGGCCGCCCTGAGCAGTTGTTGCATCACAATCGGAAAACCAACGCCAGCACCCAAAGCAACAACCACACAGGATCCATCACGATCCTCCGCGGAGCGGGACTAGTGCCTCATGGCGCTTGGTGCAAAATTGCACTAAATTGCTTCCCTCTTAGTCAACATCCAATCAGTCAAGTTATATTTTTATCCATGTATCCGCAAGGTACATTCTTATTAGAGAGACAACACCTCACCCAATTCTTACACGGTTTCACTTTTTTCCGAATATTTTGTTTGTGTCCAGTTCCAGCGTTCCCGAGTTGATTGTCAAGAATTTGGCCAACCCTGTCTTGCCAATGGACTTCTCAATGGCCGACTTGGAGTCCAGGGCGTCCAATTTCACGACATGCTTGGTTCCATCCGTGAGTTCCACTGTGATGGTTATCGCCTTGGCATCCAACTTGAGTGTCGTCCCCGCCTTGATACCCATATCTCGCGCCGTTTTCTTGTCGCCCGTGAGGGGTTTGCCATCCATGGTCAACTCTTGCTGATCAAACGGAAGGCCCGTTTCAGCTTCCAGTTGTTTCTTGATATCCGCCAACGTATCGTCGGGGGCAACCATGATTTCGACGGTTTTTCCGTCTTTGGTTTGTACCTTGACAGGGACCTTGTTGATGGCCACCTGCACGTCATCACCATCTTTGATTCCAAGATCTTTCAACTTTTTGCCCGCTGGCAAATCCTTGCCGTTTTGTTTCAAGATTTGTTCCGGTACCTTCATACCCGTCTCCTCTTCAATTTTTTGTTTGAGATCATCGGTAGTATCCGAGGGTGAGACCTCCACTTCGACTTTGCTTCCATCGGGCATTTCGACATTGAGTTTGATGCTTTTGGGTTCCATGTAGAGGACCGTGTTGGCTTTGATCCCGGCATCGTCGGCTCGTTGGTTGTCATTGTCCAGTTCTTTCTTATCGAGAAAGAGCCGTTGATTTTGAGCTGGAACACCGGATTCGGGTTCTACCTTTCGCTTAATGTCGCTCAAGTAAGTCGCTGGATCCACCATGAGTTTAATGGTCTTTCCATCATACGTCTTGACCGTGATGGGTATCTTGAGTGGTTCCACCGTGAGTTTGGATCCATCCTGGAGTCCTGCCTTGCCTACAGTCATGTTGTTGTCTGGCAATTCCTTTCCCTTGAACTTGACAATTTGCTTGTCGACTGGAATGCCAATATCATCGGCAATACTCTCCTTGATACTCCCAAGCGTGTCACTGGGATCCACTTCTAATTTGATGATTTGCGTTTTCCCATCGGGTCCTTCGACGGCAAGTTCAATCATGATGGGCTCTTCATCGGAGGATTCTTCTGGATCGGGTGCTTCTTGGAACTCGACACACTTCATCATGATTTCGTACATGTTCAAATCGGCCATGATATCACAGAATCTCTGGAACTTGGTCTTGTAGTACTCAAAGAGCTCCAATTGTTGGCGATCGGCCACATCGGCCACCTTTTCGGCAATTCCCGTGAGGGCATCTTCAATGGCCTTGAGGGTAATGTATTGATGAAAGCCCTGTCGGATCAGCACTGCACCCAAATGATACTTGGTGTACCCCAGCTTTTTTTCATCTTTGCCCGTGGAAGGGATGAGTTCCTCTAATTTTTCGACCGTGGTCGTCAAGTTGTTGGACAATTCGCTCAATGACAATGATGCCTTGACGGTTTTCTTTTCGCTGCTCAATTCTCCCTTTTCAATGTGATTGGTCACTTTGGACGCCGCCACGACCGTCTTTTTGACGAGTTTGTTAAAAGCTTCCGTCGTTCGTTCGGCCGGATCCATTCCTTTTTGATAAATCAGACCATCCAGGCGGTTCAGAAACTTTGTTTTCCAGCGATTGAACGTCTTGTATTTCTTAATCTTATCGAGACGCTTGAGTAACCCACACAACTCGGGGTCCGATCTCAAGGGATTCGACTCGTTCTTGACGGCATTGTCGTTGGGCTTGGGGGATTTGCTGCGGGTAACCATCTTGAATCTTGAAAATAATGAACAAACTAAAAGAGTATAGATACGGTAGCTGAGCTTCAGGCTTGACCAAAGGAGACGACGGGGACCAGACTGCAGTGCCCTTGCTTTCAAATGGCAGTTTCAATGGATGCTCTACTCAGAGAAAAGTAGAAGAAGAGCTTCCTGGTGAATGCGATGGCAGAGTTCGCGGATTCATAACTTCCCCGCACACTTCCTTTGGGTTGATGTATCTTGTAAAAAGATACCCTTGCTTGCAAGAACGAAAAGTTGAAAAGTGGCATGGGAAAGTCATTGAAGTAAAGCGGCAAAGCTGTCAGAACACAGCAGTGGTCCACGACCAACAAAGCGAAACACGAAACACGAGCGAAAGGACAAACGACAACAGGAGTCTTCCTCGACTCCCAGCCACCGCCTCAGCTGTCCGCAATCTGGTTGGCATGGGCAGTTTGCTAGGACTATTTAGGTACGACCAAATACACCTAGAGTATGTAGTGTCGAACGATAGTGCTAGGGTTGGGAACAACGGTGATATCCAGTGCACCAGTGCACCAATCCAAAACCGTTGGAACCCAACATTGAACTGAGAAGAGCCCCTTAAAAAAAAAGGACATCATTGTCCTCTTCCTTTGGTGGCTGCTCAGAACAATGAGTGGCTCCTAGCACTATCTGCAGTGGCAGCCAGTCTAATTGGAGCATGTGTGCTACCACATTGCTCGCTTAGAGTCATGGCTAGGAGTCTTCTCGACTCCCAGCCACCGCCTCAGCTGTCGCAATCTGGTTGGCATGGGCAGTTCCTAGGACTATTTAGGTACGACCAAATACACCTAGAGTATGTAGTGTCGGAACGATAGTGCTAGGGTTGGGAACAACGGTGATATCCAGTGCACCAGTGCACCAATCCAAAACCGTTGGAACCCAACATTGAACTGAGAAGAGCCCATGTGCTGACGAACAGCGTGTCGCAGACACGATGCCGAAAGCCCCATGTCAACTGAGTCAGCGGACACCCGGAGTGGTATACAGTCGGACTGTAGACCACCTTTACTCTAGGTGTAAACACACGAAAGAAAATAGGCGCGCAGAAAGATGCGAGCCAACATACTGTACGAGTGAATGGAGGCCGAAACTTTAAAATTAGGTCACTGGAATGACAAAAAAGTAGCCAGTTTACACTCATAGAGGAGGAAGAGCCAGGCGCAAAGGGCGACCATGGCAATCAATCAGCAGCACAAAGGGCCACAACCACCACCGTTCAAAGACGGAGGCAACAGGGCCACACCAAAAGGAATTCACGGCCTCAATCGCTGGCATAGTCAGCTCCACACCTATCGGGTACCAAGGGCTGTCACTGTGGCGTGTGGTGTGGCATGGTAAAGGTGGCTGGTCACCACCACCACCTGGACCAAAGTCTCGCGGCGCGCCAAGTCATCATTGGATGGAAGACTTAAGGGGCGGGGCCAAGACTTAGAGGGCAAAGTCCAAGACTTAGAAGCCCCCATGTCCTTTTCAAGCATCGACTTCGCGCGAAGGACTTTTGTTGTTGTTGTTGAAAATCGCGAAACGCGAAATCGCGACCATGACCCTGAAGTCGGGACGCACGGCAACAACGGTTGTCACTCACGATGTACAGTTGCTCGAGTCTATGGATCACATTGCGGAAATTACACCCACTGGCAATCTACAAGTCTACAAATCCTGCACGTACCCTCAATATCTGGAATTGAAACAGCAACGAGCGCTGGCATCGCGGGCAGAATTCGAGCGCAATCAGGTAAAGGCAGCCAAACTGCAAGGCTTTGTAGATAAATGGGGAGCATCCGCTACCAAGGCATCTGCGGCTCAATCCAGAGTCAAACAACTCGAAAAGATGGGGCGAGAGGGATTGTTGGATGAGCCGGATGAAGCAATCGTGGCGGAGCGGTTCAAACCGACACTGGTCTTGCCAGACCCTCCTCGCGCTATCGGAGACACCCTGTTGGCTCTTAACGATGCATCGGTTGGATACGACAATGATAAACCCCTTGTGGAAGGGGTCAATTTGGAAATTGTGAGAGGAATGAAATTGCTTATCCGGGGTCCCAATGGAGCAGGGTATGTTTGGTATCAAGCGTTGTGCGGGCCCTATCATGGATTCAACTTGTCATCTCAAACTGGCGATGTTTCTCATTCGCATTGTTTCCAAAGGAAAAGCACATTGCTTCATTCGTTGAGAGGAACACTGCCTCTGATTGAGGGAGAGCGGACCAAGAATGCACAGCTTGAATTGGGTGTTTTCACTCAAGACTTGGCCCAAGAGCTTGATGGTGAATCGAGGGCAGTTGACATTGTCACACAGTATGCTCGAACCGGATTTGACGTTACTATTTCGGATGAACAAGCCAGAGGTGTCATGGGTAGGTTAGGGCTGACAGGTGAAAAGGCGTTGCGCAGAATCAAAGAGCTGTCAGGAGGCGAAAAGGCGCGAGTTGCTTTGTCAAACTTTTCCATCAAACCATCAAACTGCATATTGCTGGACGAAGTGTCAAATCATTTGGATCAGGAATGGTAAGAAGGCGTGTGCAAGTGTGGATGGCTCGGTGCGATTTGCTTTGATCTGATCCTACTTTGATGATCCTTGTATGCTGAAATGTTCAGCGTGGAGGCACTCAGCGACGCCCTGACCGATTGGGGCAAAGATGATGGGGCTGTTGTGGTGATATCTCACGACAAAGAATTCTGTTCCAAGGTGGGTTTCACTCATGTCGCCACGGTCTCAGATGGCAAGTTCAAGCTAGAACAAAGAAGCATGAGAAACGACGACTGGCAAGTAGTCAGAACGACATTGGGTGAGACTGACAAGGAGGGAACCGAAACAGGGCAACCAGCCAAAGTTGAAGTCGATCCAGCAATTCGAAAGAAGTTGTTCAATGCACCTAAAAGAATATCAAAGTTGGAGGAACTGCTAGAAAAGACCGAGGAAGAAATCGCGTCTCTGGACGAAGAATGTTAGCCAACGGGAGTGACGTGGGAAAGCTAGTCGACTATCCAAGAAAAAGGAAGAGCTGGAAGCAAAGGTCGAAGAGTACATGGAGGAGTGGGAAGAGTTGGAGATGCTCCTGGCAAATCACATAGGCATCAACCAGTCAGCTCAACCACTGGTTCACCTGCACTGCCAGCAGCGTTGTTTCAAGGCTTAGGCGTGACCGCATGTGATTGTGCAGTCACATTCGGAAAACCAACGCAGCACCCAAAGCAACAACCACACAATCCACACATCGCGAGCGGGACTAGTGCCTCAGGCGCTTGGTGCAAAATTGACTAAATGTTCCCTCTTAGTCAACATCAATCATCAAGTTATATTTTTATCCATGTATCCGCAAGGTAATTCTTATTAGAGAGACAAACCTCACCCAATTCTTACAGGTTTCACTTTTTTCCGAAATTTTGTTGTGTCCAGTTCCAGCGTTCCCGAGTTGATTGTCAAGAATTTGGCCAACCCTGTCTTGCCAATGGACTTCTCAATGGCCGACTTGGAGTCCAGGGCGTCCAATTTCACGACATGCTTGGTTCCATCCGTGAGTTCCACTGTGATGGTTATCGCCTTGGCATCCAACTTGAGTGTCGTCCCCGCCTTGATACCCATATCTCGCGCCGTTTTCTTGTCGCCCGTGAGGGGTTTGCCATCCATGGTCAATCTTGCTGATCAAACGGAAGGCCCGTTTCAGCTTCCAGTTGTTTCTTGATATCCGCCAACGTATCGTCGGGGGCAACCATGATTTCGACGGTTTTTCCGTCTTTGGTTTGTACCTTGACAGGGACCTTGTTGATGGCACCTGCACGTCATCACCATCTTTGATTCCAAGATCTTTCAACTTTTTGCCCGCTGGCAAATCCTTGCCGTTTTGTTTCAAGATTTGTTCCGGTACCTTCATACCCGTCTCCTCTTCAATTTTTTGTTTGAGATCATCGGTAGTATCCGAGGGTGAGACCTCCACTTCGACTTTGCTTCCATCGGGCATTTCGACATTGAGTTTGATGCTTTTGGGTTCCATGTAGAGGACCGTGTTGGCTTTGATCCCGGCATCGTCGGCTCGTTGGTTGTCATTGTCCAGTTCCTTCTTATCGAGAAAGAGTCGTTGATTTTGAGCTGGAACACCGGATTCGGGTTCTACCTTTCGCTTAATATCGCTCAAGTAAGTCGCTGGATCCACCATGAGTTTAATGGTCTTTCCATCATACGTCTTGACCGTGATGGGTATCTTGAGTGGTTCCACCGTGAGTTTGGATCCGTCCTGGAGTCCTGCCTTGCCTACAGTCATGTTGTTGTCTGGCAATTCCTTTCCCTTGAACTTGACAATTTGCTTGTCGACTGGAATGCCAATATCATCGGCAATACTCTCCTTATACTCCCAAGGGTATCACTGGGATCCACTTCTAATTTGATGATTTGCGTTTGCCCATCGGGTCCTTCGACGGCAAGTTCAATCATGATGGGTTCTTCATCGGAGGATTCTTCTGGATCGGGTGCTTCTTGGAACTCGACACACTTCATCATGATTTCGTACATGTTCAAATCGGCCATGATATCACAGAATCTCTGGAACTTGGTCTTGTAGTACTCAAAGAGCTCCAATTGTTGGCGATCGGCCACATCTGCCACCTTTTCGGCAATCCCGTGAGGGCATCTTCAATGGCCTTGAGGGTAATGTATTGATGAAATCCCTGTCGGATCAGCACTGCACCCAAATGATACTTGGTGTACCCCAGCTTTTTTTCATCCTTGCCCGTGGAAGGGATGAGTTCCTCTAATTTTTCGACCGTGGTCGTCAAGTTGTTGGACAATTCGCTCAATGACAATGATGCCTTGACGGTTTTCTTTTCGCTGCTCAATTCTCCCTTTTCAATGTGATTGGTCACTTTGGACGCCGCCACGACCGTCTTTTTGACGAGTTTGTTAAAAGCTTCCGTCGTTCGTTCGGCCGGATCCATTCCTTTTTGATAAATCAGACCATCCAGGCGGTTCAGAAACTTTGTTTTCCAGCGATTGAACGTCTTGTATTTCTTAATCTTATCGAGACGCTTGAGTAACCCACACAACTCGGGGTCCGATCTCAAGGGATTCGACTCGTTCTTGACGGCATTGTCGTTGGGCTTGGGGGATTTGCTGCGGGTAACCATCTTGAATCTTGAAAATAATGAACAAACTAAAAGAGTATAGATACGGTAGCTGAGCTTCAGGCTTGACCAAAGGAGACGACGGGGACCAGACTGCAGTGCCCTTGCTTTCAAATGGCAGTTTCAATGGATGCTCTACTCAGAGAAAAGTAGAAGAAGAGCTTCCTGGTGAATGCGATGGCAGAGTTCGCGGATTCATAACTTCCCCGCACACTTCCTTTGGGTTGATGTATCTTGTAAAAAGATACCCTTGCTTGCAAGAACGAAAAGTTGAAAAGTGGCATGGGAAAGTCATTGAAGTAAAGCGGCAAAGCTGTCAGAACACAGCAGTGGTCCACGACCAACAAAGCGAAACACGAAACACGAGCGAAAGGACAAACGACAACAGGAGTCTTCCTCGACTCCCAGCCACCGCCTCAGCTGTCCGCAATCTGGTTGGCATGGGCAGTTCGCTAGGACTATTTAGGTACGACCAAATACACTAGAGTATGTAGTGTCGGAACGATAGTGTAGGGTTGGGGAACAACGGTGATATCCAGTGCACCAGTGCACCAATCCAAAACCGTTGGAACCCAACATTGAACTGAGAAGAGCCCCTTAAAAAAAAAGGACATCATTGTCCTCTTCCTTTGGTGGCTGCTCAGAACAATGAGTGGCTCCTAGCACTATCTGCAGTGGCAGCAGTCTAATTGGAGCATGTGTGCTACCACATTGCTCCGCTTAGAGTCATGGCTACAGGAGTCTTCCTCGACTCCCAGCCACCGCCTCAGCTGTCCGCAATCTGGTTGGCATGGGCAGTTCGCTAGGACTATTTAGGTACGACCAAATACACCTAGAGTATGTAGTGTCGGAACGATAGTGCTAGGGTTGGGGAACAACGGTGATATCCAGTGCACCAGTGCACCAATCCAAAACCGTTGGAACCCAACATTGAACTGAGAAGAGCCATGTGCTGACGAACAGCGTGTCGCAGACACATGCCGAAGCCCATGTCAACTGAGTCAGCGGACACCCGGAGTGGTATACAGTCGGACTGTAGACCACCTTTACTCTAGGTGTAAACACACGAAAGAAAATAGGCGCGCAGAAAGATGCGAGCCAACATACTGTACGAGTGAATGGAGGCCGAAACTTTAAAATTAGGTCACTGGAATGACAAAAAAGTAGCCAGTTTACACTCATAGAGGAGGAAGAGCCAGGCGCAAAGGGCGACCATGGCAATCAATCAGCAGCACAAAGGGCCACAACCACCACCGTTCAAAGACGGAGGCAACAGGGCCACACCAAAAGGAATTCACGGCCTCAATCGCTGGCATAGTCAGCTCCACACCAATCGGGTACCAAGGGCTGTCACTGTGGTGTGTGGTGTGGCATGGTAAAGGTGGCTGGTCACCACCACCACTGGACCAAAGTCTCGCGGCGCGCCAAGTCATTATTGGATGGAAGACTTAAGGGGCGGGGCCAAGACTTAGAGGGCAAAGTCCAAGACTTAGAAGCCCCCATGTCCTTTTCAAGCATCGACTTCGCGCGAAGGACTTTTGTTGTTGTTGTTGAAAATCGCGAAACGCGAAATCGCGACCATGCCTGAAGTCGGGACGCACGGCAACAACGGTAGCAAGGCGATCACTCCAGGGCCAGTTGGCTGAGGAGGGGAGCGAAGCACCAGTTGGTGTGCTCAAGATGGGAGAAGAACCAGTTGGTGTCGCTCAAGATGGGGACGAAGCACCAGTTGGTGTCGCTCAAGATGCAGTTGGCGGAGCTAGAGAAGCACCAGTTGGTGACACTCATCATGGCAGGGGGGCTAGAGAAACACCAGGCGGTGAACTCATCATGGCAAGTGTGGCTAGAGAAACACCAGTCGGTGAACTCATCAAGGCCGAAGACATGGCTAGCAGAACCGTTGTTGCCGTGCGTCCCGACTTCAGGGTCATGGTCGCGATTTCGCGTTTCGCGATTTTCAACAACAACAACAAAAGTCCTTCGCGCGAAGTCGATGCTTGAAAAGGACTGGGGCTTCTAAGTCTTGACTTTGCCCTCTAAGTCTTGCCCCGCCCCTTAAGTCTTCCATCCAATATGACTTGGCGCGCCGCGAGACTTTGGTCCAGGTGGTGGTGGTGACCAGCCACCTTTACCATGCCACACCACACACCACAGTGACAGCCCTTGGTACCCGATTGGTGTGGAGCTGACTATGCCAGCGATTGAGGCCGTGAATTCCTTTTGGTGTGGCCCTGTTGCCTCCGTCTTTGAACGGTGGTGGTTGTGGCCCTTTGTGCTGCTGATTGATTGCCATGGTCGCCCTTTGCGCCTGGCTCTTCCTCCTCTATGAGTGTAAACTGGCTACTTTTTTGTCATTCCAGTGACCTAATTTTAAAGTTTCGGCCTCCATTCACTCGTACAGTATGTTGCTCGCATCTTTCTGCGCGCCTATTTTCTTTCGTGTGTTTACACCTAGAGTAAAGGTGGTCTACAGTCGACTGTATACCACTCCGGGTGTCCGCTGACTCAGTTGACATGGGGCTTTCGGCATCGTGTCTGCGACACGCTGTTCGTCAGCACATGGGCTCTTCTCAGTTCAATGTTGGGTTCCAACGGTTTTGGATTGGTGCACTGTGCACTGGATATCACCGTTGTTCCCCAACCCTAGCACTATCGTTCCGACACTACATACTCTAGGTGTATTTGGTCGTACCTAAATAGTCCTAGCGAACTGCCCATGCCAACCAGATTGCGG